ATAATGTTCCAGTATGACTGATGCAACAGTCCAGCGTGACATCACCTCATCCTGAGACCCCGTGAATCGTCTTATCGCCTCACCTCCGCCGGGGTTTTGAGATGTGTCTTTTGTTGCGTTGCCAGAGCTGCAGCATCAGCCGTGATCGCAGGATGCGAGCGCGCTTCAATCTCTGACCTGATTTGCAGTCGTGTTGTGACTCAGGCTGGTCTAAAGTGCAGCATCATCACTGTTTTCTTCTGTTTTCTTGCAGCCTACAGTATGTGACCTGGTTTGATTGAAAGCTTGATGTTTATCAGTAATTTTCTGCTTTCTGCATCACTTCACAGCCTCAGGATGCTCATTATCATCTTAACTTTGTTCTGCATCTGTCAATGAAATGTTCACACGCCATTTAAGGTAAGAAAAGGGTCACCGCATTCGAAACTCGTATTTAAAAATCAACCTCACACCTCTTTCGAAATAACACAACATGAATAAAATTAAAAATTAAGCTATAGACTACATGCTGCTACCATGCAACGCTATCTGGATTTAATATTATCTGTTTGCACCATTTAGACAGGCCTTATTCCTCTGGGGGAGGTGCTCTTTGTAATAATTACAGCTGATGCTGGGAAATCAGGAGCCAAATATATAATGTGCATGTCTGTCATGCACTGCCTTTAAAAGTGCATGGAAGAAACATTATGTGTTCAGGCTGTAACACATCACGTTTGACTTTGGCAGTTTCTGCTCTTGCACATATCTCTTTAAGTCTCACAGCAGCTGTTTCACTAGTATGAGCATTATGTCTCAAAAGCTGTGTGGGAAGTTTTCTGAAAAAGATCTCAGCATAGATAGCGTAGCTTCCCTGCAGACGTTTGCGATCTGTCACTTTTGGATTTGGCCTGAATCAGAGAAACTTGTGCTCTGGCTTCATGTTTCAGCTGTTGCATGGATTCAATCTTATAACAGAAATAAACTCTCATGCTAATGAAGAGCACCGGCTTCTCTTCGCACTCATCAAAGGGGTAGGCGACTCAGCCTCCATCTGCTCTGAAATCGTCTGCCTTCAATATCAACTTTCCGTCACCAAACAACACGTAGGAGGCCAAAATTCATTAGGACCCTGGAGCGACGTCTGTGGGTCGGATTTAAATCAAATTTAAATCAGATTTAAATCAGATTTAAATCAGATTTAAATCAGATTTGTCGCGTCACATCTTTTCTGCGGTCTCCGTGTCGAGTGCCTCGTATGGAAACGTGTGATAAAAAACTATTTGCACATCAATTAGCA